GCCAATTTTATACTTTTATCAATGTGAATGTTAACATGTCAATATGAATATTCACATTATCAACGGGCCGGACCGGGCCTACCCCGGGCCGCCCATGGGTGGCAGGCGGGTTTCGCGCCGCCACGGGACGGGGGCCAATTTACACTCCTATTAATGTAAATGTTAACATGTCAATGTGAATATTCACATTGTCACGGGTCGGGCCAAGCCCGCCTCGGGCTGCGGTTGGGTTTCGGGCCGCCCACGGGCTGCGCGCCAATTTTACAATCTTATCAATGTGAATGTTAACATGTCAATATGAATATTTACATTGTCAATGGGCCGGGCCGGGCCTGTCCCGAGCAACGGGCGGTCTTTTGGCCGTCCATGGGCCACGAGCCAATTTTATACTTTTATCAATGTGAATGTTAACATGTCAATATGAATATTCACATTATCAACGGGCCGGACCGGGCCTACCCCGGGCCGCCCATGGGTGGCAGGCGGGTTTCGCGCCGCCACGGGACGGGGGCCAATTTACACTCCTATTAATGTAAATGTTAACATGTCAATGTGAATATTCACATTGTCAACGGGCCGGGCCGGGCCCGCCCTGGGCTGCTGTCTAGTTTTATACTCTTATCAATATGAATGTTAACATGTCAATGTGAACATTCACATTGTCAACAGGCCGGGCCGGGCCCACCCACGGGCCGTGGACGGGTTTCGGACAGTTACGAGGCGCGGGCTAATTTTACACTCCTATCAATGTGAATATTCACATTGTCAACGGGCCGGGCCGGGCCCGCCCCGGGCTGCGGGGGAGCTTTTGGCCGCCCATGAGCCGTGGCCCAATTTTATACTCTTATCAATGTGAATGTTAACATGTCAATGTGAATATTCACATTGTCAACGGGCCGAACTGGGCTCGCCCCGAGCCGCCCATGGGCCGCGGGCGGGTTTCGCGTCGCCACGGGACGGGGGCCAATTTTACACTTCTATTAATGTGAATTTTAACATGTCAATGTGAATATTCACATTGTCAACGGGCCGGGCCCGCCCTGGCTCGCGAGCGGGTTTCGGGCCGCCCACGGGCCAATTTACATTCCTATAAATGTGAATGTTAAAATATAAATGTTCACATCATTAAATTGCTAATCGTTGAAAAACTATTTATAAGGGTATCAAAATTAAATATAAGGGCATAAGTGTCCTAGAAAATAGTATAAATCAAGAAAATGGACTTTATGAAATAAAACTACACATACATGGGATTAAATGGGTTAAAAAATTCCTTCATGGACTTCTTGGGTTAAAACACTTCTAAATTGGACTTATCAATAAAAATCCCTTAAAATATCAACTATATAAAAGAAATTCAATAATAACTAATCAAGAAAGAATCACATAATAGTATCTAAACTCAAAAGGAAAAAATAAAGAAAATATCCAAACAATAGATACATCTCAGTGTATGTAATAATTAATCATTTGTAATATAATATCAAAAAAAAAAAACTTACTATTCAATAATTAAAAAAGTAACTCAAATAGTAAATCTAAATTTTAGAGGTTTCTCGAGAGTATCATTATTGTGCTGGTTTTTCCTCATACAAGTTTGTGATTATATAAAATAATATAGTAAACGAAGTCTAATTTTATATATAGAATCACTATAAAATTTAAACGACAAATCCATAATATAGAATTGATATTAGGTACAGAATAATGCACAAAAAAAATAAATAACTAAATAATTTAGCATTAAAAAAATCTTAATACCCTTGAAAGAATTAAGAAAAAAAACGTGAAATACAAATGTATTAGATTTGTAGATTATCTTAATTTACCATAAAAAATATATGGAAAAAAATATATGTCAAATAAAGTCTATATAAAATAAGTAAAGTTGGTACAATTTAAACTAGTGTTCCACCCGTGCTATGCACGGGTTATGTTTATAATTATTTGTATATGTGTGAATTGTGATTTTTAAATTTTTTTTTTCTTTTTTTGCACACAAAAAAAAAAAATGAATATAACAAATGTAACATATCTTTAAT